GCGTCCTGTCCCCCCCCAACACTCCGGGACATTCCTGGGCTGACACACGGCAGGAACTCGGCAGGAATGCGGGGTGGGGAGGCGTCCGGCCCCCGCCCGCCTGCGCAGGCCGGCCTCCCGCGTCCAGGCGCCTGCATCTGGGGGTTTCTCCACTCCTGAGACGGCGTGAGGGGAGTTCACAGCTGCATTTGCAGAAGCAACAGCAGAGCTGGTGCAGACTTTAACATTTTGTTATGAAAAAGATGGGTTTTGTAAAAATAAAAAAAATATTTTTAGCAGAACAGGACTTACAGGGTCATTGTCCCCACACCGTGCCAGCCGACTCTTTGCACTCAGCTGTCCTGCAGATGCGCCGAGGGCGCGAGCCCGGGACCGCCCGGCGGCGCCCGCGTGTCGCCCAGGGCGATGACAGGGCCCCCGCAGCCTCCCTGACGCAATCTCGACCTCGGTATATATATGTACAAACAGACGTCGCGGCGCACTTTAGCCACTGTACAAAGCCCCGCGGCCGCTCGGACTCAGGCGCCCGCGCCCGGCCGCAGCCCCGCCCCTGTAGTGATGCTTCCGTAGCGTAGACTAGTGTCGGTTCTGGGTTCCCCATGTACAACGGAAGGGTTTCAAGCACAAATCTGCTGCTCACCTAATATCCAATCCAGTTACCTGTGATATTCTGTAGGGTCGCCGTCCCGTGTTAGAATGCTGACTTTCATATGGAATTCTCGTGAGTCATCAGAGTTATTTATTATAACTTATTGTTCATATTCATTTCTAAGTTAATTTAAGTAATCATTTATGAAGACAGAATTTTGTATAAATATTTATTGTGCTCTCCGTGGGACTGAAGTCTGATTTATTTTTGTACTACACGGCATGGGTTTGTTGACACTTTAATTTTGCTATAAATGTGTGGAATCACGAGTTGCAGTGATACTTCATTTTTAAATTGTGAACTTTGTACAAATTTTGTCATGCTGGATGTTAACACATCTTACTCGAAATAAAAAGGTGTTGCCACATTTGTAGCACGATGGAGCTGTGCGGGTCTGGTCTCCCTCCAGCCGC